CAGAAATTCCTTAAATAAGACTGTAGCTTTGGAAGGTCCCCTCCACTGCCCAGGGCACTGTGATTTGACTCTGAGGGAATGAGTACCAGTGTGTGTGCACGTGCATTTGCCCAGCAGCATTTCACTCGTTTGGAAATGTAATTCTTGTATTGGCTAATGTGTTTCCTCATCTTTCTTAGATGCAAACCATTAATATCATGATCTTACCTAATAGTTTTTTGAGGGGTGCTTCTTGATTCTGTAGGTAATTGTGAACACCTCTTTAAATACAGCTAGAAAATAAAACCAATTTATAAAGCCACATTTGCATATGATGCCAGCCTCGCGCATTTGTGTATCAACAGAAACCCAGATATGCCTCACCAATTTGCCCGTCTTTAATAAAATCATGTGTTCAAATTTGCATCAAACTTCAGCTTCCTATGTATGACAAGACAAGGAACAAAAGTTTCCAATGCTCTTTTGTCTTCAGACATTTAGTATTATAAAATACCTATTTTTATGCTGAGATGTTTATACAGGTTTATTAATAGCAAGTGCAGCTAACTGGCGGCATGCCTTGCAGACCGTTTTGATATATTAGCCACGCTTCTGGGTAAAGGCAAGCCCCGAACCACTTCTCTTTTGCAGTCTCTCTGGGATCAGTAAAAGAAAAAAATCATATGCTTAGGTGGGACTGTAAATATGTATATTTAACTTTGTATAGCCCATGTACCTACTTTGTATAGAAAAATAATTTTAAAAATTTCAATTGAAGGGAGGTAAAATAAGGAAGTCATTAAGTTTTTTGCATTTTTATTTAAATGAAGGAATTCCAAATAATTCACCGGCAGATTTTTAGCACAAATACAGCCATTGTAAAGTTAAAACTTTAAATAAATAATCATTATTTCTGGGAGAGAAGGTAGTAACTATAATCTCAGTTACAGTTTTTTTGGTTTTGAGGTTTTTGTTTTCTGTTTGGTTTCTTTTTTTTCTTTTTTTTTTTGGCAGTTCTATTTATCTGAAGTAGTATTAAGTCCTATTGCTGGACTAGATTACTACAAAAAAGAAAAAAGATTATATTCTGAAAGAAAAATAACTGACATTATACATAACCAATTAATTTAAAGTGTTGCCATTTACATTACACACTGAGAGCATGTGCTGTGCAGACACAGGTTCTCCTGTTTATTTTTCTTTATTGCAGTGGGTTGATAAATAAAGGTGTTGAATTACTACATTTGCTGTACATATCATTTAATAAACTTTATTCAGAATCACGTGGTATCTGGTTGTTCTTACCTTTCATTGCTTCCTCCTCTTGCCAACCTTCCCAAAGGAGAGTTACATTCACTGCTTCAATTTTTCTTCTTCTTTTTCATTCTTTTTCTTTTTTTATT